GGGGGGGGGGGGGGGGGGGAGGGAGGGGGAAGAAAGAAAAAGAGAGGAAACCCACCCACTGAAATTAAATACTAATATTTTTGTACTAAACGTAATCACCTCAAACCATAACCTGAAATTTCTTTGTTCACAGAACACACCGAAGTCACCAACCTTCACACGTCACAACATACAATTCACACACAACTCGCTGGGTTAAGAAAGCTAATGCTATTGTACACAAGTCTGAGTATTCTTTAGGACAAATGCAGTTTCAATGATTAACAACAAACTTTCACAAAAGTCAAATGTGGCTACCCAATTCCACAGACAGATAATATTAAATAGTAATATTTGTCATTTATGCATACTACAGTAACACCCAGAGTCCCTTGTCAGAATCTGGGCACCACCATGTATCACAGACAACCAAAGGCAGTGGGGATAGGGGAGAAGGGGAGAAAATATATTGTGACACAAACAGACATTAGCTTTCAACCACCTTCTTCTCACCCCATAAAATACATTTTATCTACAAATACAAACCATTTTGAAATCTATGTCATTGCACGTTTATTCATCAAAGACGTGGGCTTTTACTCAACATACTTACCAGTTACCCCACTTCAACTGAAGGAGTACCCAAACACAAGACCACTCCCATTGAAGGAGTACCCAAACACAAAGGAATATCAGTTTATTAAAACAGCTGTTCTACTACATATTATTTATAGCACCTTTATATCTTTCAGTTTAAAGAAGTTATTTCCAGCAGCATAAATAGTGAATCACTAAAAAAATCCCATTACAAATAAGAAACTATTAATAAAACCCAGAGACTAACACAAAACATATGCCAGTGAGATGTTGAGGTTTTTATTTTACCTGGTGAGGTTAGCAATACTCAAATGCTTACGTTTTGTAAGGATTATAGTTGAGTAACAGTGAGATAATGGTTAGGATTCTGTGTCTGTCATGGATTCCATGACATTCTGCGACCTGACTTTCCACGACGTCCGTCACTTCTGCAGCAGCCAGTGTGGCTGACCCCTGGCCTGCCCAAGCAGGTGGCCCCGGGGCCAGCCTCACCGGCCGCTGCGTTACAGTGCTGGAGCAGCGCTGCAGCCAGCCGCTTGGGCAGCCCTGCAGCAAGCCCTGGGCGGCTGGCCCTGGGGACCGCCCGAGCAGGGGCCTGTGCGGCTGGAATGGGTGCTGCTGGCCCACCTCCCAAGGCTCCCTCCCACCCCCCAGATTTAGTCAGGGGTATTTATAGCATGAACAGGTCACGGGCCATGAATTTTTGTTCGTTGCCTGTGACCTGTCCATGACTTTTACTAAAAATACCCATGACTAAATTGTAGCCTTAATAATGGTGCTTCTAGGACAGATTGCTTATTGTTTCAGAAGACCAAGTATCTTGCAGAACTACCAATCAAAACTGTGGTCAAAGACTGGCAAAACATTAGACTTTTAAAAAGTATATTTTAAATACCTCTCTCCAGTTGACTTCAATTTGCTGTTCAGCCTTGACAATTCCAGCAATAGCGGTCTCCAAGTCTTTCTTAGCTTGAAGGCACTTTACAAGGGGCTCCTTACTGCAGGAGCTTCCACTCCTATCCTGCGGTGGGCTCATTCTTGACAGTGTTCCTAAACCACAAGGAAATTTTGTTTTAACAACAGTGAAACTTAAATATTTCCAAAAGTCCCTGAAAAGATAAGAATGAGGAGGGCATATTCTGAATAGTCATCTGCATCTGCTATCTCAGGAATACTAATTTGTTATTGAAAACACATTTGAAATGTAATTTTTCTAAAGGTCAAGAGACCAAATACTAAAAAAAACTGGTATAAGAAAGTAATGTCCAGTAACACTGTGGACAGCGTGCCTGAATATACCAATCTTTGCCTTGGTTGTCTTCTCTGTTTACTTTTGGTACACAGCAATTTGCAATATCTGATGTGCTACAGAAAGCAAGTTGTCTGGAAAAATATTAATGAGGAGGTCACATCAAGGTCTTGCGATTCTTCTGGGTAATTTTTCAGCATAGTAATCTATCCACACTAACAATATAAAAAGAATATCAACATGCTGTAAACTTCCTCATTAGATTTCTGTTTTCCAATGCTTTTAAACTTTTTTCTAGCTAAGGAAGCCATGGAGGATGGGAGAGGTCTCAGAGGACTGGAGAAGGGAAAATATACCACCTTTAAAAAGGGGAACAAAGAGGACCCAGGGGCTTACAAACCCATCAGCCTAACTTCGATACCTGGAAAGAACTCAAACAAATTATTAAATAATCAACTTGTAAACAACTAGAGGATAACAGTGTTATAAGAAATAGCCAGCATGGATTTGTCAAGAAGAAATCATGCCAAACCAACCTAATTTCCTTCTTTGACAGGGTTACTGGGCTAGCAGGTAGGGGCAAAGCTGTAGACTTGATAAAGCTTGACTGTATTAAGACTTTTGACACAGTCACATATGATATTCTTGTAAGCTAGCTAGAGAAACGTGGTCTAGATGAAATTACTATAAGATGGGTGCATAACTAATTGAAAGACCATACTCAAGGAATAATTAAAACTGGGAGGACTTATGTATTGGGGACCCGCAGGGGTCTATCCTCGGTCCGATAATATTCAATACTTTCATTAACAATTTAGATAATGGAGTGGAGAGTATGCTTTTAAAATTTACAGATGACACCGAAGTGAGAGGGTTCACAAGCACTTTGGAAGACCAGAATTTGGAAGGACCTTGACAAATTGGAGAATTAGTCTGAAATGAACAAGACAAAATTCAATGAATGCAAAGTACTATACTTAGGAAGGAAATATTAAATGCAGATACAAAATGGGGAATGACTGGCTAGGCAGAAAAGAAAAAGATCTGGGGGTTATAGAGGATCACAAATTAAATATGAGTAAGGCTACAATTTTGTCACGGACAGGTCACGGGCAATTAACAAAAATTCATGAAAACGTGACCTGTCCCTGACTTTTACTAAAAATGTCCATGACAAGAAGGGGGAGGGAGGAGGGTCCAGCACCCTGCCCTGCTGTGGCTGGGAGCTGCAGCCTCTGCCCCGTGGCTGGGAGGGACTCCCACCTGTGGTGGCTGGGATCCCCTACCGCTTGCAGCAGCTAGGGAGCTGCACGGGTCCCCTGCATCCACGGGAACTGGGGAGCTGCTGGGGGACCCCCCTCGCCTCCCGCGGCAGTTGTGGAGCTAATGGGCGGATTCTTGGTGGCCAGGAAGCTGACGGAGGACTCTTGGCCACCACGGGAGGTGGGGGTACCCTGCAGCTCCCAGCAGCTGCGGGCTGAAGTCACGGAGGTCTCCGGAAATCACAAATTCAGTGACTTCCGTGACCAAATTGTAGCCTTAAATATAAGCCAACCTGATGCTGTTGCAAAAAAGGCTAATGTAACTCTGGAGTGAACTAACAGGAGTGTTGTTTGTAAGACACAGAAGGTAAATGTGCACTCTACTTGGCACCGATGAGGCTTCAGCTGGAATAATGTGTCCAGTTCTGGGTGACACACATTATGTCTTTATGTAAGACCCTTTGTTTTTCTGGGGATAGGAGGAGGAAACTTTCTGTCACTGGTGAAGCTGAACCTATGTTTACAGCATTAGGGAATTTTTAGAAAATGCTGTACTCTGAGAGGCCTAATTTAGAACAAGAGCTAACAGATTCTTCAGACCTGTGCTATAAAACATGAGATTCACTTCAAAAGACTATCAGAAGAGTGCAGTATCTCTGGCCTTCTCTTGATTAGGAAAAGTGGTCAAGTCTAGGCTGAGTTTAGGTAGGAAATGTTAGCAAAGCCCAACTACATCCTACCTTTTTGCTAGTCAGTTCAAACCCTAAATGAGGCACAGAACTACTCTGAAAGGTATGATTCCCTGCCTCCACTCACAACAGTTACCGCAGTGAGAATTCTGTTTAGTTCAGTCTTTCACACTGCTTCCAATACACATTTTTTTAAAATAAGACTAGTTTCCTCTTCTATCCCCCAAAACACAAAGGGTCTTACATAGATGTAAATAAGGAAACTCAAGACCTTTACACCAATGCAAATTTTCTTACAATAGAATGATAAACTATAAAATAATCTAGCAATACATTTTCTTTCAGACTTCCTAATATGTGTAAGTTACACCATCAGACTCTCTTTGATAAGATGATATAAGTATAACGAAGTCTCATTACCAAGAGGTCTGAATGAGTCATGTTACACAAGCTCAGGGCTTGTCTACACTGGCAATTTACAGTGCTGCAACTTTCTCACTCAGGGGTGTGAAAAAACACCCCCCTGAGCACAGCAAGTTTCAGCACTGTAAAGCACTAGCGTAGACAGTGCACCAGTGCAGGGAGCCGCGCTCCCAGCACTGGTAGCTACGCCCCTCATGGGGGTGGGTTTTTTAGAGCGCTGGGAGAGCTCTCTCCCAGCACTCTGCTGCGACCACACAATCCACGTTAAAGCACTGTTGCGGCAGCGCTTTAGCATTGCCAGTGTAGACTAGCGCTCAGACTCCTCAGTGAATTTGACTCAAAACTTCTAGAAGTCACCCACAAACTGCATGTGTACAGGCTGCTCAGTTTCAACATATCCTCAAATGAAGAGAGCTAAGATGCAATCTTTCTGCAGAAAGTTCTATACATAAACATTTTGTAAGCCAGGCAGAAGGTTAACATTATTAGAATTCTGCAATGCATGAAGATCTGTACCACATTTACAGAAATTGTATCACAGTATTTTTGCCTGATGGGAGTGATTACTTATTACCCAAGAATTTCAGTTCCTCTGTGGACTTCAGTCAGTGCTGCAGAATGTAAGTTTCACTGTAAATATATTTTAAATCTGTGAAAATAAGTCTTTAGTAATAATATCACATGAAAATGCAGGAAACCACCATGAATGAAAGGAAGAACAAACAGAACAAAACCCAAACACAAATATATGCATTCTCCAGAGTGGTGTTGTATGGTGTGTTTGGTTTTCTCCCCATGGAAAAGGGTAGAAGCAATATTTTGTATGTAATATCAAAGATCACACCACAAGTTGTGAAGTAATTTCATCCAATATCTCCTCCTCTTGAGAAACATATGATCATATTCAAGCTAGAACTAGAAGAGTACTTTAATTCCTTTTTTTAAATGTATGTAAGTCTCCACCAAATTACTCAGGATGCAGAGGGCCAACCTACCTTGTCTCTATTTTTGCTTGAATATTATATGTTTAATTCTAATATTAACTCAATTCATTTACATGTTCAATAAGTTTGTAAAACAAATCCTTCTTCTTGCTACAGTGATTTTCAGTCCAAGAGAAGCCTAAGTGCATCATTTCCTTTTAATTTTAAAGTTCAGAGGACACTGCTAAATTTTATTTTTAATTACTTAAAAAAAATTCTCATGCAGCCTCCTCTAAATGTGTCCTGACTTCTCTTTTTAAGTTTCTTTTTGAAGAGTTTTCTGCTCCCCTGCTAATATTAAGCAGCACCTTTTGGGTGAGCCAAGAACAAACTAACATGGTTGATTCTCTTCCCTTTCCTTTCTTGAATGATCCTTCCTGCTGCTAGGGTAAACTCCCTCTTGCAGAGCCTGGAAAAGACTGGTTTCAGAGTAGCAGCCGTGTTAGTCTGTATCCGCAAAAAGAAGAACAGGAGTACTTGTGGCACCTTAGAGACTAACAAATTTATTAGAGCATAAGCTTTCGTGGACTAC